ACATTCGCGCTTAGTATCAAATACAAGCTACTGAGAAATCTTTGCAAGATTACTTCACCATACATTAACCGATTGGACACATAATATTATAATTATGTTCAACCAGCAACAGAGAAAAGGTAACGCTGATACGCGTTTTGAAACCTGATACACACACCAGAAACATGAATGTGCGTGTTTTACAGTCTGCATCTTTATGCTAGCCTCATTAAAATATCAGATACCGAAATCAGAATGGAAAAATCTATAGTAAGTTTATCCAGAGTATATTAAGATCATTGGCCCACATCACATCAAATAAAAAAACACTCAATTTTAAAATAAAGATTCCATAATGAAAAATGGAAAAATCTATAATGGATAATGAAATCATGCTTCTTTTTAAAGTACATGTATTCCAAAACAGCACGTCTTAATGAGGTTACGTAAGACACGGAGGGGTATCATCAAGTCAGATATTTTCATTCAGGCCGATATAAAAAGGGGGGGGGGGTGGATTTGAAGTACAGTTAGCAGAAAAAAGAACATTAGGAATACAAAAAGGAAAGACAAAAGGGATGGGAAGGGTTGAGATTGAGGGAAAACATGGTAGCGGATGCTGGGACTAAAAAGGAGGGGTGGTGTGGTGGGGGAGGTACAGGGGCAAAAAGAGACACGTAATTACCTCCAGCGTGGAAGACTGGCAGGAAAAGGTGAAGGAGAAAGAAACAGTCCTAGTAAATCGTTCTATCAGATCATAGTGATGTTTATCGAACTCCTCTTGGGATATCAGAAGTAATTTCTGCCGAGATCCGAGGGAAGCTCGCAAAACCATAAGATTGTTTGGATGACTCAAAACCTTATGGGATGCTTCGGGCGAGTGCCTTTTTGTATATTATCTGTTCTTCTGGTAGGCTACCGTAATATCCCTGATGGTGAGTGCTTTCGAGTTGTTTTGGGCTTTTTATCCCACTGTTGTATAAATATGCACATTTAAAATTGGTATTCACTTGACCCCCTATAACTCGGTAGCTGTCTTGATCCCCCAAAATCACAGTGGTTGTGCCCTGTTGAAAATATTCTCAATTTGAAAGGACTTTGCAAGGTTTGAGCTTCCAACCAACCGTGCCGCTGACAATTTGAGTTCACAGAAAATGGATCGTACGAATGGCTAGTTTTGTGTAGCTTCTAAAATTTACAAGTAAAGCTAGGGACAAATTATATAGTATAGAGGCAATAGTGTTTGCTGTATATGATAGATAAGTAATGCTTTTATCATTTTTTAAAGGGAAACATTATATCAATAGTCAGTTAGTTGTCATCAGCACAATGCCAGAAATAGAATGGCTTTTTGGAAGGACTCGTCTGGCTCTCAGAGATGTGGTGCAAGCGGGTAACCTTCTGTGGTTTGTTTCGTATAAAAAATGTTTAAAGCCCAACTAAGAATGAAAATGTCTTGTCGAAAGAAGGACTCTTGCCTTCTGGAGTTTCGGGGTATTTTTTTTTTCAAGATCTAGAAGACAAGAAAGACAAATCTAGTTGTTAATGCTTTCCATCCACCACAATCACGAAAATAATATTTTAAGTTAAGGTATATAAAAAGACGGTCTGCTTGGGCCATGCCTTTTTTCCTGGCCAATTGCGGTTTAGTTGGAAAAGTATCGCAAGCGAAGGACAGAGATACTCGATAGAATAGACTTCCTAATAGAGGAATCCAATTCCTGTCGTGTGTGTGTGTGCGTGTGTGTGTGTGTGTGTGTGTGTGTGTGTGTGTGTGTGTGTGTGTATGTGTGTGTGTGTGTGTGTGTGTGCGCGTATGTGTGTGTGGATCAACGAAGAGATAAATCCTTACACCAAGGAGAAAAAAAATGAAGGGGTTTATTTTTTACACTCCCATCAGCACAATTTAGATCACTCAGCAGGCTGCAGGGCCCACCCAGATTGACCGATAGGGATACAATGTCTCAGCGGAAAAAAAGAGATTCTGGACAAACATTTTCCCCATAAGGGAATCGAACTCGGGTCTCCTGTATGAGACAGCTAAGCGCTTACGGTAACCGTTACACCCTAGACGCCAATAGAAAAAGAGTGAGTGAGAAGACGTAATAATAAATAACGAAATTGGTTGATTTGCCATGGAGATTGGTTCGATTGAGCCCCCCCCCCCTCCCCAATCCCACCATCAGGGGATTGCGCCACCTGTGGACGTGATTATTTACATCAAATTACCAGGGCAGGTTTGGCTATATTTCTGTCCAGCCAATTTGCTCTCCTTTTTTGTGGATTCCCAAATACCCATGAATAAGCTGGATTGTCAAAACAGAAAAACAATCTTCTGCTCAAATTCCCTCACACTGTGATAACTACAGGGAATTGTTTTCCTGTTTTGATAAAATAATTCATACCGGATTGTTGTCCCCAGCTATACCAGCAATCATCATTAAGTTCCATATCTGAGACAGACATCGGCGACATGGTTCTCCATTCATTTCTGAGATTGAAGGCTCGTAAATCAGCATGATGCATTTTCCCGTCTTCCATCTGTTCATGTTTTCCAAATTATAGATTTCTCTGGATCTACCCTTGCCTCGTTTGCCTTCAATTTTGCCAGTGAGAGCCAGATGTGAAAAGCCTTTAAGTGGATTCAAGTGTCCTAGAAACTGCATTAGTTCCTACTCGTAAAAAAAAAGTTCAGAAAATCATTTCTTGGGAGAAAAAATTCCTTGTCCTCATTTAATGTAATTAACAGAGCTGAAAATATTGACTTCATGCAAAAATATAAGACTGAATATCCTGCTAATTCTTAATAACCCTTTTGGTTTTTGTTTGTTGTTTTGGTTTTACAGTGTGCCAATACACTGCGTCTTATGGACAGAAAAAAGGTCATGGAAAAAGAGAACAAGTTTTACGCCATCTCTTTTTTATTTGAAATTATTGCGGGTTCTTTTTTATTCCTAGGAGGAGGTATGTGTTTGTGTATTTGTATGTATGTGTGTGTGTGTTTTATGTGCGTATGTGTGTGTGTGTGTGTGTGTGTGTGTTTTATGTGTGTGTGTGTGTGTGTGTGTGTGTGTGTGTGTGTGTGTGTGTGTGTGTGTGTGTTTTTGGTTAAGGTTCTTTTAGGGGGGAGATTTGGGGGGGAGGGGGGTGGCCAGGGGCGAAGGCTGACTTGTTTGACAGGGTAATCAAAGTGAAACGGGATCAGATATGGCCTGTAGATATGACATAAGAATCTTACTCGAGGCGGCGACTCTGAGTTGTGAATGAAAACAAATCCGGAATTCATATTGTATGTTCAACCGCCAAAATAATCGGGAAAGTATCTTATTAAATATCAGTTCCAACTAAAATTAAATTTAACTTTAGATGTGAATACATAAACACAAAGCAAAGAAGCAGAGACGTCAGTACTAAATTTAGATCTATATGTTATAGATATACCAGTGGTTCTAACTCTTTGGTAGAACATGACAATTATCATTTTTAAAATTTTACATTTGGCTGTTTTTGTTAGCCTTTCGCGGCCAGGAGCTGGTGTCATAATCGAGGTCACGATCTGATTATAGGACGGTAAAAAGTCGAGGGGAAAAAAGCAAGCACTTGCAACAGTGAAGAGATTGTTAGGAGTTAGTTCCCCTCACATTTGTGAGGTAGACTCGACCAGTGTTAGTTAGCTTACCTAATCAGAGCTTGAGATTGATTATAACTGTGACCCCAAAGGGGTGAACAGGGTATATGTGGCAATGAAACAGCTTAGACCGCTATGCACATGTTCCCTTCAACTATATTGGTGGACTCTTCCAGCCTCACTTTAAGCTTACTTAATCAAAGCTTGTGACTGCTTATGGAGTAGCCCGAGAGGGGTGAGGAGGCTATTTCTGTGGCCGTGAAACCGTTTTGAATGTTAGGCATACTGTTCATTGTTGATTACGAACGTCTTTTGACATTTAATTTAAGAGGTTTACGTTTATGGATGAATTTGACAGCGACAATGTTTCAAAATTAGGAAGGGAAGCAGTGATTATTTGATTATATAGACGCTTCGCCCCTGGGGGTGGCGGTTCTATGTTATAGCGAGTCACCGTCTTTCTGCTGAAATACATTATCCCCTTAGTCTGCGTTGTCCATTACAGAGTCGAAGGAGCCCCCCACCACACCCATTTTTTAAAGAAGTAAAATCCTCTCAGGTGGGGGAGGTGTGTAAACTTACATAATAAAAATAAAAATATAAGGACTTCCCACGGTGCACACATACCATTCATACAGCACACACCCCGTATGGAAGTTAGACGCAAGCCAAATGACCTATTTATTTCATCAAAGTGAAGAATGGGAGCTTAGCTAAGACACATAGTTGTTCAATAGAAGGGCGGGTGTAAAGACAGAGAAGAATGTGGCGGCAACGACATAATATTGTAACACCTGATGGTGCAACAGTAAATACAGCATCGATCATTTCCTTGCTATATACTAGATCTATGCCTGTATGTGTATGTGCACTTGTCCGTGCGTTTGTGTCTGTGTGTGTGTGTGTGTGTGTGTGTGTGTGTGCGTGTGTATGTGTGTGTGTGTGTGTGTGTGTGTTTGGGTGATGTGTGATAATATGGGTGTAACTGTGTGTACGTGTGTATGATTGTGTGTCTGTGCGTGCGTGTGTGTGTATGTAAGCGTGTGTGTATGTGTGTTTGTGTGTGTGCATGCACATGTGTGTGTGAGTGTGTGCATGCACATGTGTGTGTGAGTGTGTGTATGTGTGTGTGTGTGTGTGTATGTGTGCGTGTGTGTGTGTGTGTGTTTGTGTGTGTGTGT